GCGATAATTGTAATGCGTTAGATTAGAAGGAGAATGAACGCCAACAATTGACGATCAGACTTAAAAATTTGAAGAGAGAGAGAGAGAGAGAGAGAGAGAGAGAGAGAGAGAGAGAGAGAGGAGAGAGAAATGATAAAGAAGAGCGAATGAAATGACAAAAGTAAAAAAATAATGATCAAAGGTTTCAAAAATCGGAAGAAAAAAAGCTGTATATATATATATATATATATATATATATATATATATATATATATATATATATATAGTGCACCAGGTCTTTGTATTCGGCCCTTCAAGAAGTGTGGTTGGTTCTGCACAAAGCCTTCACCACTATAATCAAATCATATCTGATGGTGTCTGGGCTGTCGGTTCCGAGGAACTGAGCTGCTTGACCCTCATATGTCGAATATGACGGAGAGATCCACCATATATATATATATATATATATATATATATATATATATATATATATATATATGGAGTCCGCTCAAAATTGAGATCATTTAAAATGTGAATATCTGAGTAACTAAATGTCCCAGACAAACGAAATCGGTTATAAAATCGAAAATGTTGGAATTTTGATAAATAAATATTTTATTGTTTAATATGAAGCCTATTTAATTTCATTTGCGCAGACATTCACATTTTAAATGATATCATTTTGTTGGGGACACCCTATATATATATATATATATATATATATATATATATATATATATATATATATATAATAATAATAATAATTTTTTGTTTAAAAATATGATTCCTTCGCTACATAAGAGTTCTCATGTTTCAAAAACGAGAGACGAAACCATCCAAATAATTATTAAAATTAAGTTGAATTGAGGTGTTTAGTCCCGTTTCATCACCAAGCGAAATTTTAGGAATAAGCTATATCTCGGTTTACGTGTGTTTTTAAGCATGGTCCGTTACAAAATTCGTTATTGTGAGAGTGGCTAGACTATTTTTCTTCTTTAAGTGGTCAGAGAGTTAATTCTTATCAATAAATTTATCATCTTCTGAGAGGTTTTGCTAAGGTTGGGTAGGGTATCTATTTCAAGGCTAATGTTGGCGGTCACCCTTTAGTTGGTTCCCAGTGAGGGATATTTTTATGGCGCGCCTACAAGTCGTTATGTGTCGGGAGGATTGTGTTTTATTATTGTCCATCTGATTATCTATTTATTTGTTTATTCAAGTGGGTGTTTTATATACAAATCGTATTGCACTGAATTTCAATTTGCTTTTTTTTTTGTTTTTTGACGTCTACAGAAAGGGTTTTTCCTATTTAATGATTTGGCTAAGCTTTTAAGACTTTTATTTAGCTATGGGATTTTTTTTTAATGCTAATTATTTAATGCGAAAGTTTGTTGATGTCGGCAAAAAACCGTTAACTACTGCCTATGGTTTAATAATTTTTCATTATTTAGAAATTTAATGATGTGTAGTTTTTCGTGTAGGCATAAAGGGCATGGGTCGTCCCAGGTTTTACAAATTCTTGTTTTATTTACTATTTTCCATTTTACTTTTAGTGTTTTATTCGTTTCTTTTAGATGCCAGAAATATTGGGATAGAGATGTGTGATTTCTATTTTGAATATTGTTGAAGGAGCTCTTGTGTTGTCTCCATCTAATTTTAAAATTATTCTTTGTTGAGCCTATGTATATTCTGTCAGTGTTAGGACTCTCAATGGATGAGATAGTGCATTTGGTATACCACGGATTTTGTGAGGCATTTATTTTCCAACGGGCAGGTTTTTTGGGTTTCTACAATCACATAATTTTTCGTTATTTTTATCTAATTTTAGTTTATATATATATATATATATATGCATGCATATTTATATGGCTAAATTTGCTGGTATTTTAAGTGTTTGTTTGGTTATATATATATATATATATATATATATATATATATATATATATATATATATGCTCATGTGGGTAGATACTTATACAAAAGTGGACTAATAAGTTCACCATCAGGCACATGATTTTTAATTGTAATTTAATTTGAAAATTTCACTATATACTTTTAGATCTATGACATCAAGATCCAATATTAATTGGGCGCCTTAGCAAGACAAGGTAGGGACTCCCCACACTTTCTCCCAAAACAACAACAATAATAATGAGATTTTGAAAGTTATCGTGAAAATTCGGTAAGAAGACCAAATTTAATCATTGCGGGACAAGTGGGAAAAATAAGGACATCTGTATCCATTAATATTGGTTAACATTACAAAGAGAATAGAATAAATGGGAAATTCTAAAAAAAATCTAAACTATCAAGACGACAATATTAATAAAGTCGGCAAAAATACAGAGGAGAGTCCTGTAATATTAGAAAATTTCTTGTCATATCGACAGGGTAATCCGAAAGTCTTAACAACCCTACATAATATTATTTTTAAGGTATTATTAAGGAGAGAGTTTCACATGACCGATACCAGAATACCCATCAGTTGAATGACGCCGATCGGAGGGCCTTTGCAACAATCAACAAAGCACAGCTTCGTAAAATATCACACAGGACATCATTTTGTGCCACGAAAATGATGGATGCTCATACAGACCTTCTCGGTGTGTGACAGCGTCAATGAAAGTGAATAAACTGAATCCAGGAATGTGCTTTCTATTAGTGTATTACTTGTTCTTCTGTTGTTCTCAATACTTTTTGGTGGGTGGCGACAAGACATTCGGACCACCCTGTGCAATGAAATCTATCAATTCTTATTCGTATGAAAGTCTATAATAATAATCATTTTTTTCTTTCCAGAATTCAAAGGACAGTTTATGGATGCACCTCTAAAATCAAGATGATCAGATCTCTCCTCTGATCTAGCTCTAACAGATCGATGTGATTAAACCTGAATTATAATTTACAATGTCACCGAAGCACTATTTACAATGTTTTTATTGTACAGACTGTAGTCCTCATCTTTATTGCCATATTCACGACGTTTTGGTCGTTCTACGCTCCGACCTTCTTCAGGTGATATAAGTTGGAATTTCGAACCGAATCCTTTATTTAGTTCACGGGGGTAGATTGTTCTAATTCCACGTGCCATGCCTTATTTGGAGATCTCAGTTTCAGCTAATTCCCTTCAGTAACTCAATTCTCCAAGTTATTGTTCCTTCTGTGGCCAGCTGCTCAGCTCAAATCTTTGGGGGAAGTCACTTTTTTGATTACTTCAACCAACGCTTTTATCCATTTGGTCATGTGTCCTTGAGGAATATAGTAACAAAGATGAGGACATTAGTCCAAACAATGTAAATAGTGTAAACAGTTACAATATCTTATCTCAGAAATATAGAAAAAACCAAGTTAGTAACGTTTCATACTCACCCACCTGATCCTAGATTTTCTCCGGTCAGGATGAAAAGTTGTACCTTCGATGAGGCTCCTTGCTTTGAACGTCTGTTTCATCCCAGACCTCAAGTGGAACTCATATATACGATCTAAAGATGCTAGAAAAATGGTCGGTTCATTTTACTGCTTCATATAGACTCTTCTTGTCACGCTTCATCTTTATAAAAGTTAGATCAGAACAAAAATGGAGTACTGATGACATATCTGGACTGGAGCTGCCCAATGCTCACTTTTCAGCCTTGACAAAGTACAAAATTGTTGACGTCCTTGTGACAGATGACATCTTTTCCACCCTAAAGCTTCTTTCTTGCAGACGAAACGTCGCAATCCTATCCCTGCTCTGTCACTTGCATGACAAATGTTCTGACGAGCCACATTCTTTAGTTCTACCAGTTCAGAACTTTAATTATGAGACTCACCCTGCTACGCCCACAGAGTCAAATCACTCTCATTCCCTTCGTATTCCATTTGTAAGGAGGAAGTTTCACCCAGGTTCTCTTGTAAAACTTATTTTATTTAACATGTGAGAAAGGATACAAAAGCATTTCTCTTCAGATTGGGGTCAAGAAAATATTGTACATTGAAAACCAAGCAAATATTGTAAATTAAGAACAAAGAAAATATAGTAAATTTAAAATGAATGGTAGATTTAATGGCTATTTTACTCATAATCACAGAAAGCGCATTTTGTTTCACATCTTGCAATTGAAAATTAGCTTCAGGTGCTCATCATTGTTTCGTTTCTTTTTGATCTCACAACACTGTGTTTAGTGCATAACACAAATGAATTCGCTCACTTGCGTACTTTTAGATATGATATTAAACTATTTTTAACATAAGGTAATTTTAGCTCATGGTGAGATTCGAACCCGGTGTAGCAACTTAGATTAACGGCATGTAGAAACATACTTGTGTACATTTTAGCATCATTCATCATTTTAGCCTCGTCCGATCTATGATTAAGGTTAACCTACTTCATATCTTGGGGCATAAAATAGACTAGAATGTTATGGCGATTTTCTAAGCGGAACTAAGATGTGACGCAAGGAATTGAGCTCACTATTCAGTCATAATTGATCTATCACGGCAAGCTTGGTAACCATTTCACCACGTCGAAGTGATCAGGCCTAGAATTTTATGTTGTCTCCAGTCTAGAAACTGGTAATAGTGACTGATATGAACTAATTAAGCATCAATCAGGTATCTATACTTCTGAAAAGGGGCAAGCATTGTTCAAAACAAAAAGGATGCTTATACTTAGAACCACAAAGAGACAGTTGACATTTCTAGGACATATATCGAGGAAAGAAGGCCCGGAAAATTTTACCCTTACAGGACATATTGAAGTCAAGAGAGACAGAGAAAAACTGCGTGCAAAATACCTAACGACTTTGTGCAAATGGAAGGTGGAACAGCGATTTGAAGGGATAGTTAACAGATAACACTTACTAATATTTACAAAGGATAGGAAGAGAGCCATGATAGCCAATGTCTTTAAGGAAGAAGAAGAATCCCCGTAATAGAATAAGGTATGTGAATATTAAGGCTATAGTGATGTCACACAATGAAGAACAGCCTACTAGCACATTAATCACAGGCATGAATAGATGACGAATTAATCAGTAACTTACCTCTTTACCTTGATGATCTTTTGATTGGTCAACTGAACTTTGATTCTCAGGTTCTGATGTCTGGCCTTCCTTGTCTCCTTCCTTATCCGATGAGTTATCCGTGTGTGTTTCTGATTTTTCTTTCACTTCCGGCTCATTCACTTTTATCTTCTTTTCTTCAACTCTAGTATCGATGTCACTGCTACCAGCCGATGGAATGGAGACCTTGTTGTTATTGTGGTCAGACCTGGCAGAAATCTTTCCACTGACATCTTTTAAATCCATGTTAGCTGGTAAACTGCCCACTGAGTTGCTTCCTGTCCCCGTTCCTTCATCTTTCAAAATTTCCTTTTTGTCATCTTTTAAATTGTTGTTCGCATTGAGCCCATCCCTGCTCTTTATCTCTGGTTGGCTTCTGTTGGCTGCCGAAGCCCCAGTGATGCTGGTCTTGTTTCTTTTAACGTCTTTAGCCTTTTTGTGACGGATAGCTAATGTCGTCTTCTGAATGTCGGCCGTTGTCGTCGATGGCAACATCGTTGTGGTTGTCATTGGTCTTGTAGCTCTTGTCGTCGTCGTACGATCTGGTTTGCACACGACAGCGGCAGAACGCCCTTTTTGTGCGCATAGCTCTACTAAACGAGTAATTCGACGTATTCTTCGTGGACATCCGATGAGACTGGTTTCGTGACCTCGGCATGAAAACTTTACTCTTAATCGGTCGGCTGTGAAGGAATAAAAATTAAGATTAGTGGATGCCTTGGTTAAATTAACAAGACATTACGAAAAATATCGATTAAAGATTTGTTTGTACATCTTTTCTCTCTCTATGTATCTATATATATCATGCTCTTCATTATCTATCTATCTATCTATCTATGTTCTATCTATCTATTATCAATCAATGCTCTTTATTATCTATCTATCTATTATCTATCTATCTATCTATCTATCTATCTATCTATCTAATGCCTTTATTATCTATCTTTATCTTTATCTATCTATCTATCTATCTAAAGCTATTTTTTATCTATCTATCTATCTATCTATCTATCTATCTATCTATGTTTTTATCTTCATTATCAATCATATCTCTTCATTATCTATCTATCTATCTATCTATCTATCTATCTATCTATCTATCTATCTATCTATCTATCTAATGCTATTTTTATCTATCTATCTATCCATCCATCTATCTATCTATCTATCTATCTATCTATCTATCTAATGTTCTTCATTATCAATCATTTTTTATCCATCCATCCATCTATCTATCTATCTATCTAAAGCTATTTTTTATCTATCTATCTATCTATCTATCTATCTATCTATCTATCTATCTATCTATCTAATGTTCTTCATTATCAATCATACTCTTCATTATCTATCAATCTATCTATCTATCTATCTATCTATCTATCTAATGCTCTTTATTATCTATCTATCTAATGCTATTTTTTATCTATCTATCTATCTATCTATCTATCTAATGCTATTTTTTATCTATCTATCTAGCTATCTATCTATCTATCTATCTATCTATCTAATGCTCTTTATTATCTATCTATCTATCTATCTATCTATCTATCTATCTATCTATCTATCTATCTAATGCTCTTTATTATCTATCTATCTATCTATCTATCTATCTATCTATCTATCTATCTATCTATCTATCTATCTATCTAATGCTATTTTTTATCTATCTATCTATCTATCTATCTATCTATCTATCTATCTATCTAATGCTATTTTTTATCTATCTATCTATCTATCTATCTATCTATCTATCTATCTAATGCTCTTTATCTATCTATCTATCTATCTATCTATCTATCTATCTATCTATCTATCTATCTATCTATCTCATGCTTTTCTTTATCTATGTATCTAAACATGTATACATACAATTAAGACAATGCATTAACGTTTTGTCAGTAGTAAATGTATCACTGTATTTGAAATCTACTCCCTCCTGACTTTAAAAGAAGAATAGTCTTAAAAAGAAAATGAAACATTTGAGTAAACGCTGACAATAAATAAAACCGACAAAAATAACCTGTCTCGAGCAAAGGCAGCAATAAATTAAAAATGGATAAATTCTTGAAAATAAAAATTAAAAAAAAAACGACTGAGTCGTCGAGAGAACGACTATCATGCAATTTCAGCAGACTTTCAGTGAGAGAAAGAGAAAAGATAAAAGAAAGGAAGGAAACGGTAGAGAAGGACTGGGAGAGTGAAAGTGAAATAGATTGATAAAGAGAAAGACAGACTGACACAGATAAAGCCAGAAAAGAGAGAGAGAGAGAGAGAGAACGACTGAGAAAGAAAAAGAGAGAAAATCTTGATGAGAGAGATAGATAAAGTGAAAGAAAGAACGGGAGAAAACGAGAAAAAACTCATATCGAGAGATTGATAGAGAAAGACTGAGAGACGGACTGAGATTAAGCGAGAAACAGAGAGAAAGAGCGAAAGACTGACACAGAGAACGAGAAAAGAAAGGAAAGACTGGGAGAGAGAGAGAGAGAGAGAGAGAGAGAGAGAGAGAGAGAGAGAGAGAGAGAGATAGACAGAAAGAGAAAGCAAGAGAGACTGTCAGACAGAAAGAAAAACAAAGGAAAATAAGAGAGACTAGCAGAGAGATACAACAAAGAATGAGAGAGGAAGAAGAGGCTGAAAGAAAGAAAGAAAGCAAAAGAAAAACAAAGAGACTGAAGGAGAGGCTGATAGAGAGAAAGAGAAAGAGAAAGTGAGAGAGGGGGTGTAGGAGTGTAAGACAGATATAGTGATTTAGGGAAGTTAAAAAAAATTGAAATATGCAAGTTTGCAGCTTCATGCAAATCACACAGAAGAAGCGGTCTAGTTGATCTCACATGCACACATACATATTCATATACACGAAGATGTAAGCACACACATGCATATACACGTAGTGGGTACGTACACAGCCTTCTCTTTGTAATATTATTATATTACTTTGTTTTTCAATTAGTTATTTCGCCATAAACCCATTCTCATTATGGACTCTCTAAATATGGCCTTTTATCTGTCTGGTCAAAGTTAACATAATTTTTTATTTAAATTCGTATTATATAAGCACAGACAAACCTCTCATCTACAAATCCCACCAACGGACTTCGGATGCAACGGACAAAATCTGCAGGCAAAATAAAAAATCTGCAAGAAAAAAAAACAAAAAAACTTCCATATCGTCAACGATATATTTCAAAATTTGCGGACTTAACGGAACGAGTCGTATTCCCAAAGTGACCACTTGGTGGCGGTGGTGGCCCTTTCAATTGTAAACAAAGATGGGTGTACAGTATATAAATTACGATATATTAGCGCGTACTTGAGAAAGTAGCCGTGAGAAATCTATTATTTTTATTATTTTGATTAATTTATCTATATTAAGTATATATATATATTTATTTATACCATGTATACGTGATCATAGTATTTACATTATGATCATAACTACTGGTTTTATAACTAAAAAATTATCACTTCCCATCTACGGATAATAGGCTTTAACAGACAACCCCTCCCCTTAGTCCGCATGTACGTAAGATGAGCTGAAAAATTTATAGGCTGAGTATGAAGAAATGATGCTAGAGCTGTGAAATATATCATGCATTAATTTAACCCTTTTTTTAAAATTATTATTAATATCTGCATTGTTCCATTCCAGCTAAAATAACATCTGACTGTTCAAAGAAGACTTTAAAGGTAACAAGTAGCGACTTCTCTTGAAAATTGACAACATTTGGCGTCGTGATGTTATCAAGTATCTGCATAAAAATAGTTTAGCCCCTAAGGACATTCATTTATGGTTGCTACATTAAGGGATGACGCCCCTGTAGTGCAAAAATGGACAGGTGAATTTAGGAGAGGAAGGGAGAATCTTGAAGATGAGCCAAGGTCTGAACGTCCTGCAATTGCCACCACCGAGGAAAACATTGAACGTATTCACCACATGGTGAGGGATGACATGCGATTGACAATAAATCAAATAGCCAATGCTATTAGCATATCCTGTGAGAGAGTTGAGAATATTCTGCACAATGAACTTGGAATGACGATGGGTGTCACGTCTTCTGCGACCTGATCAAAAGCGCACCAGGCTGATCACATCACGGAAAAAATGTGGCATTTTTTGAGGCAGATCCAGATCCAGTTGTTTTCCTTGAACATTCCCTAACCACGGGTGAGTGTTGGTTTCATCAATTTGAATCAGAGACAATACACGCAGTGGAAACACTCCTCTTCAATTGTTCCAAAGAAGGTCAAGGTCATTTCATCAGAAGAGATTTTTCAATTTTGGGATACAAAAAGCATTGTTTTTATTCAAAATGGAGAGTACGATGCCAACTTGCTAAGGCAGTTACGAAAAACTATCAAGACCAAACCCCCAAGATAACCGACGAAAGGTGTCGTTTCATCAGTACATCTTCAGCACGCAAGTCCTTGGTTGCAATGGCTGCTGTGCGTGACTGTGGCTTTCAACTGGCTGATCATCCTCTCTATTCTCCAGATTTGGCCGCATCTGATTATCATCTGTCCCCCAACATGGATGAAAGATTCTTCGCTAACGGGATCCAAACATACCATTAGCGATGGAAGAAGTATGCGGACGGCAAGGGGGACAATGTTTAAAAAAATAAACCTAATTTGGTCACGCTCCACGAGAGTATCTTGGCTAGCCTATGAACTTTTCAGTCGACTCTGAGAAAGAAAGACTAACATGAAACAACAGGAATGTTGTTCTACGGAATTATGCTGAGAAAACATGGTCACTCACGTTTTCTGACAACTGGTCAAAAGCGCACCTGGCTGATCTCATCACAGAAAAATCTGACATTGCTTGAGGAAGATTCAGCTGGTTTCCATGAATGTTTCTTTACCCAAGATGTGTCTCGTGTTCATTACTTTGAACCAGAGACAAAGAGAAAATCTATGTAGTGGAAACACCTCTCCTCACCTGCTCCAAAGAAAGCCAAGGTTGTTTCATCTGTAGGGAAGGTGATGGCCTCGTTGTTTTTGGCGGGGATGCAAAATGCATTTTGTTTATTGACTATCTTCAAAAGGTCCATACCATCAATGGAGAGTACTATGGCAAGTCGCTAAGGCAGTTACAAAAGGCTATCAAGACCAAGATAACCGTCAAAAGGTGTTGTTTCATCAGTACATCTCCAGCACCTTGGTTTCAATGGCTGCTGTTCGTGACTGTGGCTTTGAACTGGTTGATCACACTCGCTAGTCTCCTGATTTTACTGTCATCTGTTCCCCAACATGAAAAAAACCCACTTATCTGGGATCCAGTATCGCAGTGGTGATGACATCATATCTGCGGTTGTTGATGTTTTTGACTAACAGAATGAAGAGTCTTATTTGAACAGTCAGATGTCATTTTACCCAGAAAAACAACAATTCAGTTATTAATAAGAAGAATTGAAATCAATGCAGGCAAGATATGCATGCTCTATCGTCATTCCTTCATACTTAGGCTATGAACTTTTCAGCTTAATCTCGTATGCATATTTTGTTTACAATGACGTTCATCCTGTACAAGGCCCGAGAGACACTCGAGATATATGGTTACAGAGTAAAAGACACAGATCATGAGCATATGTGGGAAAGATAACCCTAGACTTGAGCAGGTTGAAATTGTAATGATCACGGAAGTATCCTCTTGAGAGTCGGTTCTACAAAGCAGAGGTTCGTGAGGAGAAGCTGCTAGTGGGACTTGCATCAATAGAATATAAGATAGTATGGTTCCATACAATGTGTGTGGCATTGCGGGTCTTACAAGTGAAGGTTAGAACAAGTAAAACTAAGGAATGTTGTTCGTTTGAACGCTTTTGCAAAAATGTTGACACAACATCATTTTCGCATGTACGCGTGACTATTACAGTATTTGTGTAAATGTTGCAATCGAAGTGAAGGTGACGTTTTCTCAATTAGAAAAATTACGTCTACGTTGGCCGTTAGGTTGAATTAAAATAAAATAAAGACATAATAGATGAAAATGATAAATTTATAAGACGCAGTTTCGTTTAACAATCAAAAGAAAACTTAGAAACGTAAATCTATTAATTTTAACTAAATTAGGGAAAAGGTTTCATGCTCTTCAATATCTATCTAAAAAAAAAAAAGATTAAATCGGGAAATTAGCGTCAGCGCTATTTTGCAATTAGATTGAATTTTTAATATCTCCTTTTAATCATTTAACGCGAAGTAAGGCAATAAAGCCACTAAGACTCAACGGGTTACTGATTGTGATAGAATATGAGAAAAAGAAAACATAATTAAAGAGAGATAACAATAAATGGACAGGAATTAAGAAGACAGAAGATAAAGATTAACATTGCATTTAAATCTTTGAAGATCAAAATTGACTGGAAATCAAGGAGCCGGAATAGAGTTCCACAAGTTCGAAATGCGAGAGAAAAACCTGTTAGAATATAACTTACGATTACATCTAGTTATTTCAACTGCAAAATGTCGAGACCTTGCTGCCAATCTACTAGCATGCTTAAATTCATAAAGCCAAGGTAGCAAAGAAGAAAGCTCATCAGAACAGTTATCATGGAAATATTTTTGGAAAGGTACAGGGAAGCCACGTTACGGTCAGAACCAATAAAACTGCAGATTCTTCTTTGTATTTTATCAAGAATCTGTAAATTATTAGACAGAAGCACCAGAAGATCAATGTTGTCTGGAAAGCATGAAATCGGAAGTATGTTCCATAAGCGAGAGAAGAAAATGTTAGTATAGAACTTACGGTCGCATCTAGTCAGTCCAATTGTAAATTGATGAGACCTCGACGCCACTCTAGTACAAAGCTTAAATTCATAAAGTCTAGGTACTATAGCAAAGAGCTCATCCGAAAAATTACCATGAAAGTATTTATAGAAAAGGTACTGGGAAGCAACTTTACTTCTTTGGATTTTATCAAGAATCTCGAAATATATATCCGGAGCACCGGATCATATGTAGCAGAAATATTCTTAGCATGGACGAATGGTAGACTTCTAGATATGCAAGATGAATTCTGGAGAGAAAAGTTGTCTAGCACGGCACAGTTAACCAATTTTCTTCGCAGCAGTTGTAGCAATGGATTCAATATAAACTTTATCTAAGCGTAGCTTAGATGTGGCACAAAGCCGGAAGTGTGGAGCATCCAGTAAGGATCGAACTCACTACTCAGTCGTAATTGATCAAGAGAGACAAGCTTGCTAAACATTACACCACGTTTCTGCTATATTAAGTAGCAGCACAGCACTCTTTTCTTTGTTTCTCCCGAAATTTACTTGTAATTTGAGACATCTCCATTAATATTGGAAGATTCTGCGTGTGTTTGTGTTCATGTGGTATGAAAGACTCACAAAGTATCTTGTCATGACGTAGGTTATATGAAGTTGGCCTCGGATTTTATTTGAAAGAGGATCGTAAAAGAGCAAAACACCATATCTAGCCAAACGAAGTACTTGCAAAAATGGAGTGAGATATTAAGCTTTCTCAGAAGTATAAAAGTGTATCCAAGAAATTTCAATTGTCGCTTTCTGATTCTAACTATAATCGGCCTTTTTGTTTCATTTTTTCTTAAAACTTCCTAACACTGGTAGCAAAACATTGCATTTTATTTATGTTGAAGGACTGAAAGTAAAAAAAAAAATTTTGACATGCAACGTAGAAAAAGATTATTAGACAAGAAAAAGTAATATTTATTAAGTAAATGTTCAAAATAACATTATTTCGAGTCAGCCTTTATATATTTCGTCTTGGCTTGAGGTGAATTTATGTCAGAAGAAATTAAAAAGGGCAGGAAATTCT